CTTCGACTTCGAGGAGCAAGAGAGCCGGGAGCCCATGGGGCTGGTGGTGCTGGAGGGCTGCACCGTGGAGCTGTGCGAGGCCGCCGAGGAGTTTGCCTTCGCCATCCGCTTCGACGACGCCGGCGCCAGGGCTTATGTGCTGGTGGCCGACGGGCAGGCTGCCATGGAGGCCTGGGTGAAGGCGCTTTCACGGGCCAGCTTCGACTACATGCGGCTGGTGGTGAGGGAGCTGGAGAAGCAGCTGGAGGAGGCCTGCAAGTGGTGGCCGACGGGCAGGCTGCCATGGAGGCCTGGGTGAAGGCGCTTTCACGGGCCAGCTTCGACTACATGCGGCTGGTGGTGAGGGAGCTGGAGAAGCAGCTGGAGGAGGCCTGCAAGAGCTTGGCCGCTTGCCACAAGTCCCCGCGGAGGTCCTCCTCCTCCTCCGGCAGGAAGAGACACCTCTCCAACCCTGCCTTGCTGCCTCTCCAGGAGAAGCCCGCCATCCTGGAGAACGGTTACTCCACGTGGGGTAGTGGTGGTGGCGTCCCCGGGGGGGCTGCCTGCCCCGACCGCGATGGGGGGCATGCGAAGCCCCCGCCCCTGCCGGAGAGGGGACACCCGTGACCGGGGGTGTGGGGCACGAGCCAGCGGCCAGCAGATGCCGGGCAGCCTGTCTCCTGCACGGGAGGAGCGAAGCGAGGGACGCTGCTTGCCCAGTGTGCAGTGTGCGTGTGCCTCATGGGGCATGCGGGAAGGACCTGGGTCTTCCCAGACCCCACGGGTCATTTCCATGAGGGTCTGTAGTGCCAGGGGTGCCGTTTTTGAACTCTTCTCTGCTGGTGGTACGAGGCGTGGAGGGGGCCCAGACCGGCACGTATGCAGCGAACCTCGCCCTGCGGGCTGCTTGCCCTCCTGGCGTGGTGGACGCTCTGGGTGCTTCATCGCCCACCTCTCTTTCGCCACTTTTTTTTTTGGTTCTTTGTTTCTCAGCGTGGAAGTTTGCACAGGTCAGCATTTATTATTGTCTGTGGTCTTGCACCAAAGTCCTTCTGCCTTTGCTCTTTCAATGCAGATAAGCCTGGGATCTTACAAAGTGCCTCCAACGGGCCACTGGCCGTGGCAGGTGCCCCCAGCCTTGTGCCTCTCTCGCCACGGGACACGTATGAGCCACCATGGCTGCGGCTGGCCCAGCAGCCAGGGCAACGAGGACCAGGCTCTTCTGTCATCAGTTTTTTTAACCTTCATCTGCACTAACCCTCCTCCCTGCTAAATCCCTCAGGATGTGGCTTTCACGGGCTCGCGTCCATCTCTTTGGGCACCTGAGCTCAGCAGCGAGGCTGAAGTGGAGACACCGAGCCTGCTCTGAAGCAACAGCGAGGACCAGGAGCTCCCCAGGGTGGATCTGGACTCTGTCGAGCGGCAGCCGAGCCCGTTCACATCTCCAGTCAAGCCTTCCCTGTTCCAAAACAGGGACGCTAAGGCCTCTTTGGCTTGCCAGGGGTCAATTTTTCAGCCTCTGTGCAGACTGTAGCTCCCGCAGAATGCCATATAGAGCTCGGCCGGCTCCCCGCGGTGGTGCGCCCGCGACGAGGCATGACGGTCGGGCAGCTTGCCCGAGACGGCGTCTGGAGCCACACTCCTGCAGAGCCTCTCTCGCTGTCGCGGCTCTGCCCAGCTCCTGGCAGAGCTGTGCAGTCGGAGGAGAGGCTGTGGAGGAGCGGGGAGGAGGAGAGGGCTGGCCCCAGGAGGAGAAGTGAAGGTGTGGGAGTGAGTACCGGTTGCACTCACTGACCATGTGTCAGCAGTGTCTGGGCTTGCCCCTGTAGTGGCAAAGCAATATCACTGCCTTCCACTAAAGCCGGTGCTTCCTTCTGATTTCATGTCAGCATCACTCGGCTGTTCTCCATAGCACGTCCCATCCTCCCTGCAGGTGAGAAGGGCTGAGGGAGGCACGCCTGTCGCCTCACTGCAGAAACCGGCCTGTCCTTCGCCAGGAGGTCAGAAACCTTGGCCACGAGGCAGATGGTACAAGTAGGTGGGTGCTGAGTCCAGGGGCTGCAGCACTCTGGCGATGGGGTTGATAAATCTCCCTTATCCTCTTGGCAGGGGCTGTTTTTCGAAGCAGAAAAGCTATGTGAAGCAGTCTTGTGCTTCCTATCTAGCAGTGTTAAACCTGTTTTTATTGCCCTGTTTTATTAAGGAGCCTTGCTAGGAAAGCAAGAGGCTATTCCAGGTCATGACTGGTAGGAACCTGTTTGCCTTTCTGGAGTTCAACGCACTCAGCTTAAAACTTTGCAATAGCCAGTAGAGATTGCCAGTGCAGAAATCAATCTACTTCCATTAACTTCTGGTGCCTTTGCAAATATATCTCTGGTAGTTTTGGATGACGAGCTTCCAGCCTCCTGCCTAATTATGGCTCGATGGTATATTAGAGGAAATCAGATCTTAAATCAGATCTTACAAGTATGACTGAGCAGTGGGAGTGTGACTGTCACATATGAGTGATGCAGTCCAGTCCACTCCAGTTTGTGTCTGTATTTCTTCATGTAGGGATTTTTGAGTCTGGGAGGATTATTTTTGTTCTGGTTTTTAAGTGAAAATGGTTTGGAAAAACCAGGAGCAGGTGGCTACGGGCCAGTGCCCAGGCTCCGTCAGCAGCCCAGCCTGGCTGGCTGTATGGGCCAGCTCTGCCTCCCCACCGGAAAAGCTCAGTGCTGCAGCATTCCCGCTGGGAACCTGTTTCCGTCCCACGGCAGGGCAGCAGCATCAGGGGGTGGCACTGCCTGGTGCCTCCTCGCTCCAAGCGTGGGCATTTTGGGGCCAGGGTCAGATCTGGCAAGCATTTTTCTCTGTGTGGGTTTTTTTTTTAAATATAATAATACAGTGAGAAGCATATTCCTGATATCTCAGATGTACATAAGGCAGTTTGACAGTAAAGATTTAACTTCCAAAATAAATCAAAATGTAGTGGCAGTTCCTACACTAGAGCCAAGAATCAGCAGTGACTTGAAAGGGAAAATAACAAAGCCAGTTCTGTCAGAACTGGAACTGAAACAGCATTATTCATTTAAGGGCAGTTTTAAGAAGTTTAGTTTCTTTTAATAAGCTGGGATCGTGCTAGTAACACTACTAAAGAGCTTATATTTAATGCTTTAATCTGTCCCATTCAAATAGCACGATTTCCATGCTACCTGCCTTTGCGTTAGCACGTACCCCAACTAAATCCTAAATCCTGCAAATGAGGAGCTGCACTCTGCTTTCTGTCTGATCGCATTTGGAATAGTTTTGTGTTTTATTCTGCAGCACCGAGAAGAAAATGCCCGAATCCTGAACAGTATTTGTGCTCGGCCCAGCTGTCCATGCCCGGGCCTTTGCTCGGGCTCCAACGCGGTGCGTGGCTTTGGGCACGCTTGGTCAGGGTTGCCCCACCATCCTGCTCATACAGCAGGGATGGCCCTTTTGGGAGTAAAAAGAGCCATAACTGGAGTCATGCCTGAATTTGTATGAGAGTATAGGGTTTTTTTAATGACCACCGCTGCCTGCTGTATGTGGCAGGAAGCTCCTGGGTGCTGCCCCACCTGCTCTGCAGTGGAGGCTCTCAGACCAGCGCCTTCCAAGCAGCCGCACCAAGGCAGAAGGTCGGGATTTCAGCTTCCCGAGGTGGCACGTGCGGCTGGCTGATGGAGCCTGCACTCCCTCCGTCCGCAGGCAGAGATCCTTACGGGAGCAGCAGTGAGTTTTCACTGCTCATTGTCCCCGACAGCAAAGTGAGACTGACTGATTGCCACACACCGTTTTCCTCCGGTCGTTCAGGTTTGGACTGTTTCACCTCCCGCCTTCGCTTTCCCTTATTGTTTTTTAAAAACAGAAAATGCCCGGGCAGCACAAAACAGGTTCCCTGCCCAAGGGGAAGCTGAACACTAAACCCGAATGGCTGCTTTTCTTGAAGTACTGAAGTAAAATCCTTTTCTAAGAGTTTCCTTTAGCACAGTAACGTAAAAGCGATCAGAAGAAAAAAACGCTTGAATCTGAAGGGCTGAATTTAAAAGAAACTGAGGACTGGAAGCGGGAGGGCGATTCTGGCCCGGCCTGTGGGGCTGTGCCAGGACGGGCTCCCAGTCCTGCTGGAAGAGCTGGTGAAAGCCGCCTCTTCTTCCCAGGCTGGGACTCCAGATTCAGGCCCGTCGCGCATCGCTCGGTCTCTGCGCCTTTACCTCTCCACAGAACAACTGTGGCGAGGTCTCCCAGGTCCTGGCAATAACCCTCCAGGCTTTACCCGCGGCCACCGAGGGCCGGGACCGGACACCTGCCGTTACAACCGCCACGGCGTCCGTCGCTCGGGGGGGGGC